GCAACCATTTAAAAAACAACAACAAATTTGAGTATTTCTTGGAGTAGGAAATTATAGTTAGAAATGTTTCTTTTCGGCTGCTTTTAAAATAAAAACTTGCTTAATGTTTCTTTCCAGAGATGTTCTTTGTGGATATCTACTGTGTTCTAACATTGTCTCTAATATTCCAAGACTTGGAGAGCTTGATGGTGAAATCACATCTATTTCTCTCCAAAATTTGGGAAAAACTTTCAATTGCAGGTAATTCTTGGCAACAGATATCTTTTTATTTCATGGCTACAATTTCTATGTATTTTTTAAATCTCAGATTTAAAAAAAAGATAAAATTAGTTACTTCCTCACCTTCTCTAACTTTTTACATTGGGGTTTGCCTAACCTTATTCCCTTCCTTAGCTAAAATACAGTAGATCAGCTGTGTTCATTGGTCTTCTTTTAACTAAAGTTAGTTAAATTCACCATATTTCCAACCATCTAATTCATAAAGTACTAGTATATCTGAGGTAATGTTTCTCCTAACAATTTAAGTTCTACTTTCTGTTTCTATCTTTTACTCCAGGATTTGTAGTAATATATTCTGCATGTAAATTAAGATAATAATAATATAGGCATGCTTCTTTTTCAATTTGGGACTATTTAGTTGCTCTAATTATTGCTTTCTGGTTACACTACAAGTTCATCAATAGGATGGAGAAATGGCTTGGTACAGTATACTCATATTTTTAACAACTACCCACAATTTGTGGCTGTCTTAGTCAAAGATCTCTATCAACAAAGAAAATAAATAAATATGTTTTTGGAACTTCTCTGCCCTTTTTAGTATCCATTGTAAGTGATGTGATCTCAGGTGTCTCTGCCTCTTCTCTATTTAGCATCTGGGAATTCTCATTCTGTATTTTGTTGAAACCTAAATTGCAAATCACATATATGAGATTCAGTTGTTCAACAATTTGAATATTCATTGCACTGTTTAATTTTGGTATTAGAATTTAAATTATCTTTTCCATAGTTGGCTTACAGACTACAAGTAGAACTTTAATTGCATCGTTTTGGACATTTTAAAATCAATAAGGCTGGTGTTTCATCAATTCCTGCAGCTTTGTTGGCAATATTTTCTAGAGTCTGTTTAATTTGATGTTCCAGAATCATCCTCAGCCTAAGTTGCCATCAGGTGATCTTCTGTGAAGATGTTGAGACTCTAGAAAAAGTACAGAGAAGAGCAACCAGGATGATTAGGGGACTGGAGGCTAACACATACAATGAACGGTTGCAGGAACTGGGCTTGGCTAGTCTACTAAAGAGAAGGACCGGGGAGGCATGGTAGCGGTCTTCCAATATTTGAGGGGCTGCTACAGAGAGGAAGGGGTCAAGCTATTTTCCAAGACACCTGAAGGCCAGACAAGGAATAATGGATGAAAACTGAACAAAGAGAGATTTAATTTGGAAATAAGGAGAAACTTTCTGACAGTGAGAACAATCAACCAATGGGACAGCTTGCCCTCGGAAGTTGTGGGAGTGCCATCAGTTGAGACTTTCAAGAAGAGATTGGACTACCATTTGTCAGAAATGGTGTAGGGTCTCCCGGTTGGGCAGGGGGTTGGACTAGATGACCTACAAGGTCCCTTCCAACTCTGATTATCTGTTAAATCTGTTAAATATATATTCCCACAGTATTGCTCATAGCCTTATTGTAATGTGTTGTTTTTCATCACAACAAGCTAACAATCTTTGAAGTTGTCCTTACAACCCTGATATTCTGTGGACATCTTAACTTCCATGGCCAGACAAGGTCAGCTAGATACAGTGACCTATTAAGACTTGCATAGATACAGAGGGATATGATATCTTAACATAGAATAATTTGGTTGAGTTTTTGTTCAAAATGATTTTCATTTGATTGCATGTTTTCATTAACTAAATCTTCTTACTCTATTTGTAGTGGTGGTCATGTGAAGTTGGAGGAAGACGCAGATCTAGGCTATGTAGAAGATGGGACACCCTGTGGCCCTAATAAAATATGCTGGGATCATAGATGTCTCTCAATTGATACATTTAACTTCAGTTCCTGTCCTGGAAGTACAGATCGCTTTATTTGCTCAGGACATGGAGTAAGTTTAGTCTTTTTGTCTTGAGATGGGGGAGTTGGAATGTGGAAAAATATGACTTATTTATTATTTTTGGATATTTAAAGTAGTCCAGTAATGCAGCAGTACATGGATGAAGAATAATGATAAAAGTGTCTTTAACTGAGCTCACTTCCGATACCCAATCTATAGTTTTCTTTGCGCTGTATAGAAGCAGTTGTTATGGCCTTTTTCTCTGAGCTTCTTCTTCTTTTTTTACTACCCAATGATTTTCTTCAATGCTGCAGTAAATCTTTAGCACAAATGAATTTTTCTGTCCCTTGTAGACAAGAAATGCCTTTAAAGACATTGCAAAATAAATGGTGCAAACCTGGGAATCATCTATTAACAATTCGGTTTCAGGCAGCAGTTCTAAAAATGAGAGGGGAACTTTCAAATGAAGATGTGAAAACATACATGCATGTTCCTTTGAGAAAGTTTGTTTCTGACTGATCAAGAATGTCTCTTATAGGGTGTGGAAATTTCAGCATGTTAATTTTTGAATTACATAGAACAGAATAACTTTGCCCCCATAAACACTTTTCTCCCAATATCTTTAAATACGTTGTTCAATCCCCATAGATTATATTCCCTTCTCTCCCCTTCTCTTTAAAAAAATAGTTTGCTCGTTAAAATAATAAGATGAACAGTTTAGAGGATAGTGTTTTTGGTTGGGTATTTTGACTTTCAAAATACTTATCATTTTCAACATTAGAGAGCTATAGGAACCATTACGTAGTCATAAGCAGGAATGCTTTTTCCTGATTTTTTAAAAAATATTTTTCTGAGAGTGGAAGCTAAAAAAATAGATGTTTTGGGTTTTTAATATAAAGAAAACTTTATATTAAAGACTAAAGCAAACTCTTGCAAACTTGCCATGAAAATGTATTGGAGAATCCTGAAGAAGCTCTATAGATTCCCATAATGGGAATGAGGGCCGCATAAGGACCATGAGTCAATTTGGTGTAATGGTTAAGGCATCAAATTAGAACTGGGAGACCATGAGTTCTAGTCCTGCTTTAGGCATGAGAACTAGCTAGGTGACTTTGGGCTAGTCAATTTCCTCACAGGATGCTGTGGGGAAGATAGGAGGAAGAAGTATTAGGTATCTCAGGAAGCTTCTTGGAAGAGAAGTGAAACGTCTTCAAAGAAAAAACAGAAAGTCCAGTTGCCTCTTGAAAAAGCACCTTTGGGACAACCATGACCTAGATGACTGAGAATCTCCAGAGACATTTAAGTATTAGGTATGTTTGCCTCCTGGAATCATTAATAAAAATAATAAAAGTGGGATGTAAACAAGCAAAATGAATTGTAACTTATCCATCCATGGTCAACTAATTAAATATGGGAGATTATAATATGTTATTTAAAATTGACTAGTTTCTTAGATTCCCAGGAAACATATATTAGGATTTTTCTGTTTTAAATTTGAATTACATCCTTTGTAGGTTTGTAGTAATGAAATGCAATGTATCTGTGAGCAGTTATGGACAGGTGTAGATTGCAGCAAACGTCTCATGAAACCAATTATTGATGGAAGCTTGCACAATTCAGGTGAGTTTTATTATATGTATATACAGTATATTGTGGCAATGTTATTTTTCATGTGAAATGCCTTGAACATGATCTGTACAGAAATAAGGGTACTAATTCTTCATTTAGCATTTTAAGGAAAAAGTCCTCCAAATTTTGATCCTCATCAAATATAATTTCACTTACATTGTTAGTTATAGAATTAGAAAGAATAACAACCCATAACTATTTTTGATCTTCACCAGCTTGAATCCTGTGTAGTTCTCTGTTCACTTAAGTGTACCAGAATTCCCCCCTCCCCCAAAAAATTTACATTAAAAAGAAAATGACTGTGTAATTTTAAGTGGGTTTCTCTAATAGTAATGCTTTAAATTCTTGTTTTAATCTAGGTGTCACTAGCACAAACATTATTATTGGTGCTATTGCTGGTACAATTTTAGTGTTGGCTCTCATTATGGGAATAACAGCATGGGGTTACAGGTAAGTAATTTATATGTAGAGGAAAAAATGTAAGCTAAGAAATAAACTAATGGTTGGTAATGTGTTAACAAAGAGTAATTAAAAAAACCAATTTGTTTCACCAGTTAGAAAAACAGTAAGAAAGCAGGAAATGTAATAATTTATTTCTTAATTAGATTTAAAGTTCTAGTTTGTGATAAATGAAAAAAAAATCTTCATTTTCAAGTATATATCTATTTTTAAATAGATCCAATGAAAATAATATTAGTGGAGGATTAAAGAACTGATGTGCTCTTAATTTTAAAAGTATACAAATCTGTCTCATTGGATGCAGAGACACAGTTCATTGCATTTGCATTTAAAATTTTAAATTCTGTATATAATGTTAAAACACGATACAATTTTGAAAATAATGCGGAAAATGTTAACAATAAACCTCCTTTCTTGATGTTACCCACTGAAGCTGATTTACAATAGTTTCAAAAAGGGCACAAAACCCCTTTTATATAATGTGTAACTAATAGAGAATTTGCTGCAGTGGATCATAGAGGTGAAGATGAGAGAAAGAGAATAAGTTTATTGACAACCGTCATGGTGCATAAATCTTTGGTTTCAATAAACAGGTTTCTTGCATTTAAGATTGCTGAATTCTACTTTTTATGCTAAACATCTCTTGATAGGTACCAGAAGAGAACTATGATTTCTTTAAATTTAGGAATAATGAAATTATACGAGTTCATATTCTTAATATTTGGAAATTTTCACCCCAAAATGTTGTTGAATATAAAACTGAAACTTCTTTGCATGAACTTGTCATACAGAAAAAACGTGTCTCCTAATTTTTCATGGCAGCAGTATTGTTTTTAAATATAATAAAATTAGATTCAGAGATAAAAAAATAATATCTACTACCATTTTCTTTTATATATTGTGAATGTTTGAGCTTGGTTCCTTACAATTGCTTACCAAAGTGAGATCTGATCTCAAACAACAACTTTCTACATAAATTCTTGTCTTGTTCCTGAAGTTCTCATAAATTTCTAAAGCAATTTTTTTGGTGTGCACATGAGGGGAGGGAACGGGTGGATTAATGGCGTAAGATACTATCGTATGAAGGAAAATGTAAGATTGCCTCCTTCTCACAGTTTATGGAATCCAAACATTTCTTTAAAACATTAAGTAAAATGAAAGCAAATGCCACGCGATAACTCATTCTTTGTCTCTCTTCCTTTCTCTTGTAAGAAACTATCGAAGACAGAGGTATGTGCAAATAAAGTATGACCACATTGACTCAGAATGCTTGAAATAAAAGCCCAATTTCTTATGTATTGTGGGTATGGATACTTACATACATTTGTGTGAATCAAAGTACCACATATCACCTTTATGTTCCACTAAAAGTCCTGTTTATTTGTGGACTTGTCACCAACAAATAACCTAATTTAATTAATCAATTTTTAATACTTCCTTTCCTTGGGTTTATATTTTCTATTATAATTTTTGTTCCTTAGCAATCAAAATGATGAACATTTATCCCTAGACAGCCATCCATAAAAGTGTAATATCCTAAACTTGTTAATTGTTAAGGTGCTACCAGACATTCTAGGTACAGCAGATTAATAAAGACAATTTCAAAAACAGAGCCAATTATCTCATAGTTAATGACTTCTCCAACACTTCAGGTTATTAGGGTTCTAAAGTGTTTCCTGTTGAATATATGAATTTGCCTTTTACAATGTTAAATTACTAGTTTTTATATTTTTTTAGATGGAGCCAATTCAGATATTTATGTATGATTTCATTTCCAGCTGGTACCCATTATGTTTGTTTTTTAAAAAAATCATGGCTTTTTTAAAAAAGTCAAAGACATGTAGAATAAGGATCAGATGTACAATCTTGAGTCTGGTCTAATTTCATGTCTCTGCTCAATGAAACTTCTGAAGTTGCATATTGAAGGCATTCATCCATTCACTCTGGAATGTTGTGTGCAAAAGAAAGCTTTTATAGAGAGAAACAAACGTATTTAAGAAATGAATATAATTTAAAATATGGCACTGAGTGAAAACTAATTTTGTGATCACTATAATTAATAAGATTGCAAAAACATAGAGGCAAAAAAAACCCCAATGAGTTTGTCAAACGTTTGTTATGAAAATTGCAACATTTCAACCTGTTTTCAGTCCAATAAAGTTCTAAACTAATTTTTAGTTTAGCATTCAACTGAGTTTCCCTCATGAAGCTACCTCAAATATAATTGGCTTTATTACTATTTATTGCATAATTTAAAATGCTGCATCATCTCTTTGTGAAATATCATTTAACTATTCTTTGACTTCATGGAAAACTCAGATTTCATTGCAATTTCTGTAGTGTAGGTTAATATTTTTTAAAAAAAAAAATTCCTCAGTGTTCAAATGAATGTTGTGGACAGAAGTCTGGAATATATTTTATTTATATAGCTATGAATTTTTGCAAACAAAAAAATATAATGGTTCTGTTGCTAAGGTGATAGGAAGAGTATTCTTTGTTGCATTTTTTTAAAAAGGGGCGGGGGGCAGTGATCTCTTTGGTTTTGAGGACAGGAAGCATAGAAAGCTCTCTGCCATAGCCAGGTACTTATAGGTAACATCCATACAAGATTAAGGAATAGCAAAACTTTTTTTAACAGTTTGTATCAATTATCCAGGAAACTGGGGGGAAACAAATATGTCTGCAGTCATTAAATGGGATAGAAGCAGAAAAATACATGTTTCAGCAGGATTCATGACTCCATTTCTAGGGAAATCTAATTTAATTTCATAAAATTGTTTCCTTTAAATATAAAGAAGCTTAACCCATTTCACTGGTGCATACTACACGTAAACATTTTAGAAACTGCAAGTTAAACAATCATGTATTTTAGAAAATACATTTTTGTACCATAGAATAATGCCTATTTTCTCTATCACCTGTCTTATTCGTGTGACTGTGAGATAAAACAATTTAACCGCTTGCTAACTCTTTTTTCTTGACTGGAGAGAGAGATAGTGAGTAAGTTAATGTATTTTCAGCCTATGCATGTATTCTGTTGTTACTGACTTCAAAATGTTTATTATGCTTTAGACAAATTCCTCAGGGAGATTATGTTAAAAAGCCTGGTGAGGCCGACTCCTTTTATAGCGACATGCCACCTGGAGTCAGCACAAACTCTGCATCTAGTTCTAAGAAGAGGTCTGCTTTTCTGTCGCATTTTCAGATTTCTACCTGTTCCATCACACATTATTCCATTAGTCAGAATCTTTCATTGTTTTGCAGCAGGTTTGATTCCTTCTTTCCTTCCTTCCTTTTGTGGGCTGTGTTGAAATTCCTCCATCTCTGATTATTGACACATCACAAATATTGATGCAACTAAACTTCAAGGAAATTTTAGGCTGTAAGATTATTTTTGATCCTACTTAAAAACAAAACAAAAGCCACAGCAATACTCAACCTAGACTGATTTTTTTCAAGCTCTAAAATGTATGTCTTTCAGGCTGAATATGGGTTCCATTGATGACACAGACAAATCTAATACTAATTAGAGATGTCTAATACTGATGCCATCTTTATTTTCTGTTTGGAAGTAGCTTATTTCCAGTTGCTAACAGGTGTTCACTGGTAATTATCCTGTTATCATTCTTGTATTCAAACAATACTTGAAAAGACAGGATGGAACTTGTAATACTTGTATCCTGCACTGTAGATCCTCAATGAGTAAGTGGATTTTCTAGGAAGCTTTCCAGTTCTGTGATACCATGAAAAAATTAAAGCCAACAAAACACTAAAATTGGCTTTATTTTATAGCTTGTTCAAGTAATCAAAGTTGGAGGATTTTTTTCTCATACTTTTAACAATTGTAATAGATGAATAAAATGTAAGAATATACATGTTGTATGTTATCATCACTTTGCTGTTTTTTGTTCTTATCTTACCTGGCATTTCCAGTTTACATTTAACATCTTTACCAATCATGTATGTTTAGAGCAAATCATTTGGTTGGCTTATAAGATATATGCACACCAATGTTGCATGAAGTAGAATGCTACTTATAACTAGCTGTCCTGTAAAAAGATTGTTCTGTTACAGATCAGGTCACAGATATTCATAAATCTTTGATTCTGCTAAAATAAATTTAATATTCAGTTGATTATCTCCTCTTGCAATATTTAAGCAGTGAATGATCAAAATTGCATTGGCTTCTTCTGTGAAAGGGAGACTAAGGGCAGAAAATTCAAATTTTATTCTAAATCCAGAGTGTTATACTTAAATAGAAGCATTGACTGGATATCGCTCCATTTACTGAAAAAATATATATTCATTATTTCAGATAATAAATTCAGCTCTTATTTAATAATGGTCATTTTGATATGTTCCTTCTTCATCATTTTTAGTAGCAACAATGATCAAAGTGTTTTAATGCTTTATAAATGACCTCCATTAGAGTAGTATAATAATAAACAGACATTAATTACAATATATTAATGTAACTTTATTAAAAAGAGAGACATAACTGATTCAGATTATGCAGTGTCGAGCACAGATGGGTGGAAAGCTGTAGTATAGAACACATTATAGTGCTAAAGTAACCATGTAATTAAGATGTTTTACTTTTTTTAAAACTTCAGTAAGATCTTTCTGATGGATGCCTATTTGAAAAATTACTCTAAATCAGTCCTGAATTGTTTGACAAAATTGACTGATATTAAATATTTTTGAGAACCATATTTGAACAATGTGGAGTGTTCCATTCCTGAATGTCTCCAGAAAATAAATAGAAGAAATCTTTGGAGTATCTGTTTCCTAAGATTTTTTTTAACAACTTTTTCAGGATACCAACGTTTTGTTCTTTCTATGAATTGTTGACTGACTTAAAACGAGCATTGCTTAAATATTACATATTTATTATGTGTCCTCTACTACTTATTTCCAGTAATTCCTTCTTCAGTTGTTAGTTCTTAAGAACATTACAGTTTTTTTTAAAGTCTGCATCTTCTGAAACATACAATAGCCGAGCTTTTACTTAGTAATCAGAATATTAATACTTTTCAAGAATTTTATAACAAGAGTTAGTTTCAGCCTTCTCTAGTTATTCCTGAGTTTCCACCTGCTGGTTGTGCTGGCTAGAAATTCTAGGAATGGTAGTTGAGATAGATCTTGGGACCATCTGGCTAAAGAAGGCTGGATTGATTGTTGTTTCTGATAACAATACTTGGTATGCAGTCCTCCTATATCTTACATTTTGGCGTGTGAGCAACCAGTGTTTATAGAACAGCAAAAGTCATATGTAAGAATCCATTTTGGCTTTCTGATAAGAATTCTCTAACAATTGCCTATAGATTTCTGTGTCACACAAAATGAAGAAGCAAAGTGTCTAAAAAAGAACAAATGTCCCCAATTTACTTTGCTCTCTGAGTTTTCTTAGTGCTTACTTTGGCCCTCAACATATTATTCTGTACAAATACCATCCAGAAGATCTCTATCCCAATTTTATATTCTGCAGAATAAACAAAGCTTAGAATAGCTTTTGATGCCCTGATGCCGTCCTGTTCGGTGTGCTTGATATGAAAGAAAAAGTACAGGACATGTGAAATCTACATTGCTAATTAATTTTGGTACACATTTGAGGATGTTCAGGAAAGCTTTATGTTTCCTCAGCCTAATATGTAAGGTAATAATTGGATTATTGAAATACCAACATGCGAAAACCAACCATTGCATATGGATCTTTCTCTTTATCCTAGGTCAAACGGCTTATCTCATTCATGGAGTGAAAGAATTCAAGATGCAAAGAATCTTTCAGACATCTGTCAAAATGGGAGACCAAGGAGTAATTCATGGCAAGGTGGGAAACACTCTTGCTTAGCATGACAGATTTCAATGAGTCATGATTATCTAAAGAAATTGGATTGTTTCTTAGGTGCATTAGAGCATAATAAAATTTTAAAAATTTAATGTCAGCTCTGCCTCCCTTTTTTCTCTTTTATCAAGGATTTGGATAGATTCTAAACTTAACCTAAGACAAAACATACTTTGATTTAAATGGCGATGTCCTGAACTTAAATACATTGTGTATGTATCTTTAGGGCTGCTGAATGCCTGGATTCTATAATTATATTTTAGTATTATCTTTTTTACTATTATGTTTTGATCTCTTTCAGGTAATATAGGAGGCAACAGAAAGAAAGTCAAAGGCAAAAGATTTAGGCCACGGTCTAATTCAACTGAGTAAGTTTGGCCTTTTAGTTGAAAAAGGAAAACAGAAAAGTTCTCAAGCTACATTTTGTTTCAATTCCTTCTTTTAAATATTTGATATGAATCCTTAATAGTTACTTATGTTTTGAATAAGAGTACTTGCTGGTAAACAGGGTGGAAAATTATCTGTTATCTCTTTATGGGCTTCTTTGCTATACTAGTGTCCAAATACTGCTATTCTTTTTCCACTTAAAGCATTTTGTGCCTTAAAGTAGGAAATCAGAGCTTTAGCTAAGGGAGAAGGCTGTCCCCGTCACTTTCCCTTTGAAATACTCTTGTTATTTGTCCCCTTATTTTCCTTATTTCTTGTTCACCTCATCTTTGGGGGAAATAAACTTATTTTAGAAATAGAAAATCAGAGTGGAAAAAAATTATTTAGCAGCTCCTGAAGACCTCTGTGCAGAAATCATCCTGTAGGATTCCCAAGACATTGTCAGGTAAATAGATATCAAATAATGGGCTACAGGAATCCAATTTGTTATTTTGGGGTATTTTTCCTTCAACAAGGAACAACAGATGGTCAATCAATTGACATTTACCATATTGATTACCTATTTAATCTTGTTCTACAATGCTGAATCCCTAAACACATTCACCTACGTTGCTTCATCATTTCTGAATAGCAGCAAACAGTATTTTAGTATTCTGCTATCAAAGTTGGTACTTGATTGATTTCAGTGCAAATGATTATTCAGTACTGTCATGTAATAGGAAAAAAGTTAGTCAGGAATCATAGTTCAACATTTTTTCATAATGCTTCCAAATATTATTTGATAACATTATAGTGACCTTTTTTTGTAAAAAAAAAAAGTATATTGGGGCAGGGTAATCAATTAAGATCACATTGGGAACCATTTTGTATTGCAAATTTCTTCTGTGATGCTTCTTGAAAGATTTTAAGAAATCTGCAAGCTGCTTATACTTTGTTTCCAGAACCTTTTCTGTCCTGTCTGTCATTTTCTCCCATCAGTTATACAGTTTAATACACTATTTGGACTAATACAAGACAACCATTTCAGTGAATGTTATTGATTGTGTAGAGAAGTTTTTATTGTAAAAATAATCCAAACGTTTCATCTCAAAGACAATAATAGGGGAGATAGTGTTTCACTCTATAAGATTTTTTAAAATCACCTGTTTTGAGTTCCACTTATAAGTGGACAGCAAAAATGTAGACAACCAATTGGAAACAGCAGGGAGATATTGAACATTCATTATAATTTTTTACTGTCTGGATTTTTGGAATTCAGATCTGGTAGCCCTAGTTTGGGCAAATCTAAGATGTAAATACCAGTATGAAACTAGGCAATTCATACGTTGTATGTAAGAATTCAATTGCACTATTTTAAATAATTTAATCTAGATGTAATGATTTATCTGCCCTAAATAAGCCAACATCAAAGCTGTTGTCACTGGATTGGAAAGTACAACAAGTCATCCATACCTCTAAGAAATAAATTCTATAATCTCTGGTCATTCTTTGAGATGGGATGAATTGTTCCCCAGTCCTATTGGCTATTTTGGTTGTTTTTATAGTCCTTTGTTAAAGCAGTGGATGACTTTGGATATTATGATAAATCAAAGATTGGGCAGAAGAACTTTTCCCTGCCTTAAACATTTTCTTCTAGATGTAAGAGTTTGATAATTTTCATTTCTAGTTTCAACAAGCTATAGTATGTGGCTGCCATATTCAGAACAAACTGTAGTTTAAGAGTAATCACATGTTTTTCAGCTTAGGATACACAGCTGGTAATTGGACATGGATGAGAGTGCTTCCAGATTCCTCTTCAGAATTATAGCAGTGGAGGAAAAGGGGAGCATAAAAGTAGGGGAAGCATCCTTACAATATGATTGACTGCAGTTAGTGAAAATACCATCAGATCTCTCTTTAGCTTTTATGAAGTGGCTGTAGGAACAGAAATATATTGCCTTGATGACTGCAAAGGCCAGAGTTATAAAGCAACCATTTTTCTTACGTCAAATACATCATTTCTTGGTATATTGAGTGGAAGATCATTTCTGGCTGGGAAAAACAATTTCTGCAGTGATTTTTTTCCTTTGTTGGTTAAATGTTGACCCTAGTAAAATGTATTTCATTCCAATGCCTGCAAAAATAAATGGATGGTCATATAGATTGTTCACCTATGAAAACTAGAACATTTATAATTGCATATGAGCATGTGTTAAAGCATGTCCTGAGTATTCATACTGGCTGTCTGTTTAATTTAAACTAACTTTACATTAGATGTGCATCTTCCTCATTGTTATAAACTATATAGACTTTGGCTTAGATTTTCTTCTATTATATATTGTGTTTTTGCAGCAGGGTATCCCATGCTTCTGAGCCTGGGCTTTCCCACACCAATCAAATCCCACCCCAAGGCATAAGCCAGGGGGATTCTCACCACTCCCAAACAGGGAATCGGAGTCACAGGTCAGTTTCAACTGCCTTTCTAGTTTGGCAGCCACTTTTACCCGAAGTTCTTTTTCCAAAATTTTACTGTGATGAAGAATTTTGATTGCTTGGAAGGTCTCCTGCTGATGGCAGTGCTAGCTAAGCCCTGTTCCTTGCTGGCCTGATGTATAATTTCCCCTCCCTCCTACACTATTGTAAACTCTAGGGTCCTTGCATTATTGCATGTTGTGCTCAAGCCAATGAAAGCCATTGATTTAGTTTAAGGCATTTCACGCAAAGTTTTATCATCTGATCAGACAGGTTATTCTAGATCAGTGTTTCTCAACCTCAGCAAAGTTAAAATGGGTGGAGCTTAACTCCTAGAATTCTTCAGCTTACATGGTCCCTGGGGAATTCTGGGAGCGGAAGTCCACACATCCTAAAGTGGCTGAGGTTGAGGAACACTGCTCTGTATCAATGATGACTGATGCACAGTTACCCCAGAGATGAATTTTTAACCTGTTTTAATTCTGCAAACTGGCATGATATTAAATTATAAGTGCAGGATGATCAGTAGGATTCGAAAAGTTAAACGGTTATATACGAACATGCCTCATAACTCTATTGTTATACAGCTGCATGTTTTTGTTGCTGTGCTAACTTTATCTTTTTGCATTACAAAATCCAGATAAGGAGTGCTTCATGTTTATCAAATGAATTTTTCCAATAAAACGTGTAGATTGAAGGTTTGGCGCTTGTTTCTGCATTTGTCCACTGGAGTGGCAAGAATTAGCACAGAGTGTTCTGCTGTGTGTGTCTTTTCTTTCTTAGCAAATTGCCCTGTGGCTATACTTCTAACTATTACTTTTTAATTAGCAACTGAGCTGGAAAACATCAAGCACTTCTTTTTTAAAGTTATTGTTAATTAGATGCAGTCATGGCTGATAGAAAATTGATGCTATGTTTGTGCTTACGTGATTGGAATGGGAAGGAACGTTGCCATTTTGACAGCTATTATCCTAAAAACATTGGAGCAATGGATTTAATACACTAAGCTAGTCTGGGTTTGATTTATTTTAAGAATGCAAATTCTACTAAACTCAACAAAAATGGCAGCAGGTTTATTTTTTATTTATTAAATTTTTATGCCGCCCATCTCCCCAATAAGGCGTCTCTTACCAAGGATTTTTGAATATGACTATCTAAAAGGATAGGAGAATGGTGAGAATGACATGAATCTGGGTTGAGATAAGCACTTTGTCAGTTTTAAATTTCAACTCACACGAGTTCCAGGTATCACAGTAAAGAGCAAGTAACCATGAGATTTCTAATCCAAGGTACTTAAGGAACATTAAATTGCTTTTTTCTATGCTAAATTATGAAATGCTTCCATTGAACATTGAAATACTTAAATTATGAAATACTTACATTGAACATTGAAAAATAATTAGGTCCTAAGTGGATGTTTTAACTTTGTAACGTGTTGCATAGGTTAGTGATCAGCAGTATATTTTGTCTACCTGTAATTTATGCAGAAATTGCATAGCTTTTTTATGCTTATACAGCACAGAGTTCATGTTTTACCTCTTATGCAGTGATAGCTTGTATACAGAAGAAGACTGTTCCAAATGAATAATCCTACAGCTTTCAGAAGGATTCATTTAAGAAATCAGTGAACATAGGATTGTAGTCTATCTAAATTATTGTACTGTTATTTAGTATCTTTTTGGGATAGTAAGATATCCCTTACTTAGTAGTCTAAAACATGGACTCCATATTTATGATGTATTAATTCAATGGCTAGCTACAATTAGAAGTACCTGTAGCAGTTTACCAGATATCAGCTATTTTCTTAAACTTTTTTATATATTTTTCTTCAGTGACATAGAAAAAATAAAATATTTGGAGTGTGTAGTTATGTAGACCATTGTTCGAGAACAATTGTCATATAATCCAAGAAAAATGGATGTTTAAGAAGGAATTCTAAGATTGGATCTGTCAAAGAGTCCATATTTGGCAAATCAATAAGTTTTCCTGTTTCTTCCTACAATAATTGTATTCTTAGAAGTAATACAATGAAAAAGACACACACACATACACACACATAAACACACACACAAAACATACTTCTAATGTACAGTATTGGCAACAAAACAAGATCAAGGCTTCTTCCTGAATCTCATTTGTAAATATCCAGGTGCTTATACTTAAGTTTCTATGACACCAAATGAATAATCATTTGTTATACTCATAGAGGTTAAATATATGGCTTTTAAATAACATGATTAGCCTGTTTAGGAGAATGCTTATAGAGCTACCAATAATGTTCACCTTGGAAGGATTTATAGAATTTTCATGTTATGCTGTTGTGATGCACTGCTTTCTATTCTGGCTACTTGTGATTCATTTTTCTCCACTCTCTCAGAGCACTAAGTAACATTAAAATCGGCTTAATATGAGTTCTTCTTTCAAGTTTTTAAAATTGGATAGTCCTTGTGTTGTCATGGCCTTTACACAAGGACAGATTAATGGCAAGTAAATGGAACATGTAAGCTTAAATTAATTTCTGAATGGATATATTCTGTGGGTCTCTTTGTCTAGCATTTGCACTGAGTTATAGTCCTTCATTACTGAGGGATGAAGGCATCCTTTCTGAGCTTGTGCTGTGTGTTCTCAGATATTTCTCTATTCTTCTGCTTTCTTTGTTCCTTCCATTGCTTTTTGCAGGTATTTAAACCCATGGTTCAAAAGAGAATATAATGTAGCTAAGTGGGTAGAAGATGTGAATAAAAACACTGAAGGACCCTACTTTAGGTATTTTGTGAATTCATTCTCTCTAATCTTTAAGAACGGTTTAAGCATACACCAGATATTATGTGATCCCACTCTTGTATGTTCCAATACAAGTTATTTCTTTTAAGATGTCAAGGGCTCTTGTTCATTGCTGCCTTTGGGGGCTTCATTGTGCAATTACAATTCTTTTCTGAATGCCTTAATGAAGCCTTTTGAAAATGATGCTTATGGTGCTTGCATTCCCATCACCATCTTTAGCTTTCAGCAGCTTTCTCTTTATTTAATGCCAAATAAATGTTTTAAGGACATGATCAAAGTCTTCAACTAATCAAGTAGTATTGGAAGTTTAAAATTAGTGCAATGGAGTCAATAGCTTCACTGTACATTGTGCTTAAGGTGCAATTATATGCCCTTATATTTAGGGGCCAATTCCACTTGCAATAAACAAACCAAATGTGTGAGAAGACATTTAGAACATTATGCTATTGTCTTCCAAGAGCTTGTAGAAAAGAAAAAAATATGTGCTAAATTGCAGCTGTGAACAGAATTTTATCTTGATGCTTAAATAGAAACACAGGTAGTCCTTTCTTAACAACCATTTGCTCAGAGATTATTTGAAGTTACAACTGGCACTGAACAACTGGTACTTAACACCCAGTTCCTGAAGTTATGGCTACTGCAGTGCCCTCATAGTAATGTGATCAAAATTTGACCATTTGGCTGTCCACTGTAGAGTGCACCAACTCCCTCGATCCACTTATCTCCCCCCCCCACCTCAATCTCTGCCCTTTTGGCTGCCCTGCATAGTGGTACCCCTTGGCAGCAGCCACACTAGGCTGAAATATAGGTCTGGTGTTCAGTAGATTCAGTTGGCTACCCTTCCCTCTAGGCCTCTGTTTCAAGCCCTGTGTTGTGGCCAGCCACCCTAGTGTCATAGCAAAATCCCCAGGTCTGCAGCCCTGCGCCACCAGCTAACTTTCACCATCTTCCTCCTACTGCTGCTGAGGCATGCCCTAAGTGAGGCCGCTGCTAGCCACACCAGGCCTCAAGACCACTACCACTGTTCTTGCAATGCTTTTGAAAGCCTTCAGAGGCCTTCCAAAACATTGCAAAAAAGTTGAGCCATTCTTCAAATGCTTAGGAAGGCCTGAGAAGTTTATGTTGTCCTGATACCTCTAACTTTAACCTTCATGTAACAAAAAGGGGGAGTAGCTTATTTTTCTGCTATCTCTTTTATTTTGACAGGTTTTGTTTTCTCACAACAGCCCATATTATTGATTACTTTTATACTAGTATTTGCACATTTAAAAACTAACCATTCCTTTTCTTATCTTTAGTAAATGTTCTGTCTCAGTGCACCAATTCATCTATTCACCATATATATTTTATCATATAATATGAAAGTATTCATCCCTGTGAAATACGTTTACTTTGATCTTTGATACATTTATTTTTAATCTTTTTCATCATACAAGTTAACATTAGCTGCAAATCCTCAAGAGTCTTGTCCAATATCTGCGGACAAAAATAAATTCAGAAAAGCGTTCCTAACCGATATTCATCTAATGTTGTCACAAGCAATCCTTATACGTTTATCCATAAATATTATAAACCACTTGGGGACATTGTACATTCTTGCTTTATTTCCTGTTCAATATTGAACCATTTGTTAAGCATACCATTTATTATTGTGCATGTTTTATTCCTTCATATTCTGTTCTTGTTGCATTCTGCAATCAATTATCAATCATGGCTTCAGGTCTGAAGTAAAAGGAAATACATACATCTAAATAAACCTCATATTCATGCAAAATGTTCCATAACGCACAATACATTTTCTTTTTCACATTGATACAGAGATAACTATCATGATGCATAAAAGAGACAATTTCTTTAAACTTCCTCTGTCTATAGTATTATGAATTAATATCTAAAACTTTATTTGTCTGACATCTGATGGCTTATTTATAGTTTCACATAGAATAGATGACATAATAAATTTTTTGTTGTTGCTTTAATCTATCTTATTTTTATTTCTCCTTGATTACTTTCAGGTAATAGCTTAACATGAAACACATCTTGGTTTTATGACTAGGATATCTGCATAAACGCTATTGAAACAAAAAGTCTATGAAATGAGAAAGATTGATAATTCCCAAAGAAATAAAATTCCAGAACATGAAAATGAATGCATTTAAAAACAGATGTTCTAATCTAAGAAAGACTAGTAGAAAATATAGTAGAAAAGTTAGGGTTTGTCATTAGTTCCCTCTTAATCAGTAGATTTCTAGATAAATAAAAAGGCTGAGTATCTGACCTTAGACATAATTTGTAATTATTGTTTCTTCTTTTCTCCAATAAATTACAGTTTGATAGGACGAAGATCCATATTGTGAACTCTCCTAAGTCCTTTTTTTTTGTATTTAACCAAATGCAAATTTCCCAGTGCAGGGAAAGTGACTTTTCTGAAAATAACGAGACAATTGTTTTAAGTATTCCTACATTTTGAAAACATGAAAACACTGTCTCTTTACTATTTAGAAATTTGCTCATGCAAATGTTTGAAGCTAGTAACCAGAAATGGAGATTTCTACCATCTCCAGCAGCACAATTATCATTTTCTTATCCTAGTCCTCAAGAGATAAGTGTTCTCCCTTGAGACCAGGAAGGATAAGTAGCTATATGGAATTCATTAAAGAAAAAAAAAACATGGAATAGATTATGTTCTTTCATATACTTTTATCTGAAACTAAAGAAGGTGAGGTTGAATTGCACATGGAGGGGAATTGGTAGCCAATGCAGCTAACACAGCAATGGTGCCCTATGCTGTCATTAACACTCTGTGCCACCTCATTCCACATCAACTGAAGCTTCCAAATACTCTTCAAGGGTAGGCCAATATAGCGTACACTACAATAATCCAAAGAGGCAACTGCAAGAGCATAAAAGACTATGAGTAGGACACCCTAGTCTATGAATAATGACCAGTGATGCTCAACACAAAGCTTACAAAAGCCTTCTTCGGCATCATTGCCACTTGGTCTCTCAGCAAGAGCCATGTGTCCAAAAGTACTCCCAGACTATGCATTAGTTCTGTCTGAGACAAAAGCAAAGATGGAATATCCTCAGAACCAGGTGGTCCCAAAACCCAAAGCCACCCAATTGGGTTGAGTTGAATTTTTTTGAGGCCTCCACAGCCACTGGGCACTGAAATAATATTTTCACAGCGTTACTCAGATGACCAAGGGTATATCTCTCCCCAAATTGTTGGTTCCTTTGGTAACCTCACCTAGTGGTTCCATATAGATATTAAACAGAAGGGCAGAAAGACAAAATTCTGTAGCACCTTACAAAGTAAAGGCTGAGATCTGGAACTCTCTATCTGTAACTGACCCTGGAAGAAGGAGGAGCACCAGCATAACATTGGATCACCCATCCTCAACTCTTGGACCCGATTCAGAAGGATATCCTGATCATTGAAAGCCACTAAGAGGTCAAAAAGAGTGAGGATGAATGTACCATCCTCATCCTGGTCCAGCAAGAGGTCATTAAAGAGTGTGATCAATTTAATCTCAGTGCCAAAGTTAAGCCTCTGGGTGAAAGGGGTCTAGATAACCAGCATCCCTTGAAATTGTAATACAACTACTATCTATCTATCTATCTATCTATCTATCTATCTATCTATCTATTTATATTTGTCAAAAGCTTACAGTACAATAGAAATAAGAATAAGCATAAGTTTAAATATAAGAAATGGGAACTAATAATTGGGGACAATAGGATGGAGATGCTCTATCTTCCCTAAAAGGAAAAAGATTGGGAACTGGATGAAAATTGCGCAAAATGGCCAGTTCCAACATGGCCCCTTGAAGAAGAGATGGTGAGACCACCCTGTCATTAAAAGATAAAATTAACCACTTGTCTCCCTCTCAAGCTTTGATCAACCTGGAAGGACATGGATCTAATGCACCGCTGATAGTCATAAGAAACCTTTCCAAATTTCCAGACCCAATAGAATAAAAATCCCTGCAGATAACAGAAATAGGCCCAGCTCTCATCACCTCTGTAGGATTTGCTTCAAGGTCAGAATCTGACTTAGAATGGTTCTGATCAATTTTATCTGTCAAATGTCTGGCATATTCTTCACAGTGAACCCAGAGCCATTTCCTACCAGAAGGGCTGCATTCATTCAAAACAAGGTCTTAGGATGGCTATTCATGAATTCAATAGGGGTGGAAAGATAAATTTCCTCCCTTACTGCCACAAGATAAGCACCCTATAGTAGCTCATGTTTTATCAAATTTAATCATCATTTGCTGTAGGTATCTTTTTTCCCACTTTACATCCCTTCGCTCTTCCATGAATCGGAAAATTCTGGGTCTGATCAATCGAGAGTCAGGCTGCCCTCTAATTCTAAGCAGCTACTAGGGCTTTGGTCAGATAATGAAAAAGGGTCAATGGAACAATCCAATTAGGTTTGTTAGTCATCTGGGGTGGATTGATCTAATAGGTCCAGCTCCTGCATTGAGTGGAGTATCTGTGATCTGTAGGTTACCTAGAGAATGATGGTCGACCATGAGAACAGAGAAACCAAGTAATTCACCCAAATCCAGATGATATCAGATTAATAGAAGAACCAGCCAGGCATACAACTGTTGTGCATTGGATATTGAATGATTTGGGAGATGACAGAGTTGTCATCATGGCCATGAATTCAGAAGCTACCACTAACCCTACACCAAGAATAGGCAGATTAAAGTCCCCAAGACCAGAAACCTATCCAAGGAGTCAATGAGTTCAGGTAGGAAATTGCTATGCAGCGGAAGGTTGATATACTGGTGCTCTTATAGGAAAAAGAACTGGAATAAATTGTTGAACAAGTAAGTTTAAAGGTAGTAGGTTATTGGAAATCTTAGCATATTTATATTTTATAAATATAAAATATATTTATAACTGGGATAATCAGTTGTAACCTCTGTAGTGGTCTAAAATTACTTCCTGAGCAATTTGTTTGGGAAATGGCATCATTTCAAGTCTAATGTCATTTTGCGCAAGATGCTTTATGTGTGCACATATGATGCAATAGTGGATAATACCAATTACATAGATTAGTCTGCCAACCCAATGTTTTTCAGATGTGCTTGACTTCAAATCTTAGAACTGGCCAGTTCTGGAAATCCAAAGCATTTGAAGGGTAATTGTTTGAGGGAGGAACTAAACTGGATGGATGAACTATATTTGTGGGCACTTCAAATGGCAAATTTATTAATTGAGCTCTTTACTTATTACCCTTTCTTTCTGAGTTATGCTGATTTCTCTCATCTAATCTAACTCTAATGAAGCATAACCAAACTAGAAAATTTAGCATTCCCAATAAATCTTGTTATACCTTAAACAATGTCTTTTTCCTTCAGATATGGTACATTCAGTTAATGTTAGTCAATCAGTGTTCCAGAACAATATATATTGTAATATAATTCTATAAATAAGTAAAAATGTTTTTAAAGGAAAGCAGTTATGTGATTGCAGGATTCACAATGCCTAAATCAGGGATAGTGAGCTTTATGCTGCTAGTTATTTTGAACTGTAGCTCTCATAATTCCTTGTTTTAAACACTTTAGCAGGCTTAGCTGCAACTTCAAGTCTACCTGGACGCATCAGATTGCTGATCTTTGAACTAAACTATTTGCATGTTTACAGAAGTATTTTGTCTAACTTCATGAAAAATAAATGGTCCCAGTGAAATAGTCACTAACTTTGATTTTTCTTTTATTGTTTCACTATTGAAGCAGCCATTGAACAACGTTCTTTGGGCTTGTAGAGAGACCTGTGCCTAAACAGGTTCTGAGATGCTTGCAAGAGATCCCAACAAATGGATAGCACAACTGTATGAATTAATAATAAAACAAAAGTCCTTATCTGAGGTCCACCTGCCTGACAGCCATTCTGTATTTGAGGAAGAATTAGAAAGCATTTGATATTTCATCCAAGTGACACAATATCTGAGATCAGCTGAGTTTCTAGCTTTTATATTTTCTCCCATGGTAATAATTTTACTTCGTTTTTGGGGAAAAAATAGCATAAACAGCCATGAAATTATACCACAGTATCAAAACATTACTGTAACTTAATAGTTGTTTTTATGAGCTTAGTATAACTTTTTTTCCCAACTGCCTCTGAATGTAGAAGGGTTGCAATTTTAAATATACTGTGGGCTGGAAATTTGTGGGAGTCTGAGCTCTCACACGTCGGATGGGCATTAGTTTGAGAATGGTTGAGAATTATAGGAGAACTAGAATATGGGTTTTAAATTTTCTTACATATAATCACAATGCAGGATTTTCTAGAGTTCCCTTCCTGAATTACTGATGTGAAGGCCCCTATTATCATGTGAAGGCCCCTGTTCCTGCTTTGATATTAGGCTCTCATTTCACAACTCATTTTTACTAATGTCGGTACAGCAACATAGCCTCTATGAAATACAGTTGTTTGTAAAGATGGCCTAATGTCAGAGCAGCTGTTTATATCTAGGAGTTTCATAAGGTCATGGTAGCTAGAGTTGGTAATATTTGATCATGTGGATTCTCTCCAGGGAAGAAGCCCCATGTCATAAAATAAAAGAGTTCTTTTATAAATTATTGCATCCAGTAAGTAGAAGTAGGATGTTTTAGTCCTGGAATTCAAAAGTATGATCCCATAGCATAGTTAGCATAGTTAAGGACTGGTGCAGAAATAATATTTGCACAGGGATTTGGTTCCTTTGATTCCGACATCAGTCATTCCTGGCCTTGTGAGTAAAAGTGAAAAGCTTTTTATTGACTTGGAAAAAATAGAATGCCTCACATGTGACGCAAATGTTGACTTGCTACTGCTTATCTGACCCACCTTGTCCAGAAATGCTGATTACTCTTTCAGTCTATTTATCTACTCTCCCCTCCATCCCACCCCATGTCCTCAGATACCAAGTTTGGCTGGAACACAGCATATTAAATTATGCTTGCATGTGTATTGATTGAGCATTATTCTAACTTTTAAAGTGCATGCCTCTGCCTATGTTTTTATTTTATATACATGATGATAAATGGATCTGCTCTGTTGATTCTAAACTCGAGCTGGAATTCTGTGCACATATAGATTGGAAATGAGTAATGAGAGGTGGACTTTTAAAATATGGTGCTTAAGAACTGGGCTAGTTAATTCTCTCTCACCTGTCCCTAGTCAGGAACTGTCCTAATTTGAGTGTATCATGATTCTCAGAGTCAGGGGTTTATCACCTGGGAAACTTGGGAGTTTTAATAAAAAAAATATGGGAATTGCCTAGTTTTAAAAGTCTAAGGTACATTGATGTAGGCACAGGTAGTCTTTGACTTATGAGCAGTCATTTAATGACTGTTAAAAGTTAAGGTCTACCTGAAAAGGGGGACTTAAAATCCAAATCCAAAGTTCTGACAGTCACCCCCTGCCCTCCCAGATACATGACTGCACTTTGGGTGTTTGGCAACACAGCCATATTTATGGCTGTTTGCAGCATTTTGCAGTCACATGACTATGTTTGAAAACCCAGCACTTCTGTTTTTTTGGGAACACCATGCCCATTGTGATCAATGGGGTCACTTAACAAATACTGCAAAAAACTAAAGTCAATCAGATGATAACACATTTTATGATTGTTTCAACTTACAACCATAATGGGCAGGCTGCATTGTGGTTGTAAATCAAGGACTACCTGTACACAATGTATAAATTGCATTGGGATAGATCACAAGTGGAAAACCTGCAGCCTAAATACCTATGTCTTCTCTTTGCAGCTTTTGAGACCCCTTGACCATGGCTGATGCAAGCCAAGTGCGTTGTTTCCTGTTCTTTTGAAATGGGAAACAAAATATTGCTGTGGAAGTCCTAAAATAAAACAAAAACCTAAAAGTTTGTTTGTCATATGCATAATGTGGCTCCACCTTTTTTGGATCTGTTAACTCCCTCTCAAATGTTGAAAGAGGCACTCAGCCACTAGAAGATTGTCAATGATCTCTTCAGTACTTTTATTTGTATTTTCTCAAGTAACTCCAAAACATCTAAAATCAATCATTTTATTGCACGGAACAATAACTTTTACTAGGGTTTCAAAACAAGTTTCCTCAATCTGGTGTCTCCTAGTGGAGACAATGATCATAATCACAATGGCCACAATCACAAGACCCTGGCCACAATCATGGCCAGTGTGGGAACTACAGTATCAGGTTGCCAAAGGCTGCTTAGATGATAGACCAGTCGTTCATATATACATATATATATGGCTTCAGAAAATTCATATTGATTGTCCCAACAAGGTAGACAAGTATTATTTTCTTTATTTGAGTGAAAGAATATGTGCTTGAAGCCATCTGATGTGAGTCAAAGTGTGAGGCAAAATTATTTATAGTTGCTCTTCTTAACAACAATACAAATTAACATTGGCTTGTTTAGCTTTCATTTCTTAAATGATGACAGCATAATAATTTCTCCTTATCATTTGATGGCAAAAAAATGGTATGAAATTACATCAGCTTCATGTTGCTTCATGGCTGAGAAAGGTCAGAGTTCTCTCTTTCAGAGTTGGGACTAATATCAACCAAATGTCCTCAAGAAATGTGTTGGAGACAGTGCTTGGAAACTGCTTCCCTAAATGATGGCTTAGAAGCCGTTCTCCTTGTAGAATGAAATGATTTAACTGAGATTCTTAGCAAAGCTTTCAGTCAGTTGCAGTTTCTATTGTCCCATGACATTTTGTGTTTCTTTTCTGTCTCTGTCCTCCAGGACTCTTTCTCCTGCAAAGTCCCCATCATCCTCTACTGGCTCCATTGCTTCCAGCAGAAAGTATCCATATCCCATGCCTCCACTGCCTGATGAGGAGAAGAAGGCCCACAGAGCTAGTGCTAGGGTATGCTTGACTTCTTCTTTGGTTTTAGTGGAAGGGCTGTTTGTTTGGGCACATGTAAGACGGCTTTGGTCTGTGATTGGACTGAAGTTGAAACCTGGATCAGCTGAATATTTTAAAAATAGAGAAACAGAAATGGGCAAGGAAAGGCCCACAGTGACTGCAGTCCTTTAGAGAAAATTAGAACATCAGTCACTTAATTATTCCTACTAGAAATAGGATTATCCCATTTCTGTTGATGCAGAGAGCGGGATCAAAAAGAGAAGATGGCTCTGACCCACTGCATTTCTCCCCACCATAGGTAACATACTTTTTCAGGCACATTCGGGGGTATTGTCAAACAAGAAAGCAAAATTAAATCCCATTTCTGTAGAAACTGTTTTTGGTGGTGAGTTTCCATCTGTTTGGGGAGTGGCAGGGTTTGCAATTCCACTGTACTGAAAGCTATCAAACTGGTGCAGGCTTTCCTATTGTGTAAGGAGCAGATAGAAACTACTGTCCTAAAATTAGGCATTCTTTTTTTACAGCTATGGGAGACATCCATTTAAGTATTTAGCTTTCACCTGAGCTGTCACCAGAACTATTTACTTCAAATTTTATATAAATTCAGCATCACTGAATCACTGAACATTCATCTGCTCAGCAGACAACTTGATGGAGCAAAGATACAGATAGTCACAGGATAAGCAAGTTCTCCCGTTGAAGGAAGACACTGATTTTCTACAGCTGATTCAAGTTTTGTGAATTACAAATAAAGATATTAACCTGATATAAACCTGAACATGCTAAGATACTGTGCATGATGTCAGATATAGACATTCAGATACTGCTTTTGAAATCTCAATGGTGTTTTTTCCTGGTCTAACATGTCCCCAAATATCTAAAAGAGAGTTATTCAGAATTTGGTACATAATCATTTATGCTGTGTGCATGAACCTCTGTTTGCCACTATCCATGTGTAAGGGGTTACTCATTTTACTGTAGTAGAGTTAGCATGCAGGTATAAGATGTTTTTTCCACAGCTGGGTTCTAAAAAGACAAAATATTTTGACAACAGCTTCAACAAGAAAACTGATTTTTTTAACCTGTTACAATTACATTCTCAGTAAAAAAAAATACTATTTGTAGACAGTTGTGAAATATGAGCACTGTAGTTAGGTTTTTGCCTGAAGAGCGTGCTAGAAAACTTAGGAGTCAAGTTAGATACTTCATGGCAGGTTCATGAATTAACTGCATGCAAAGGTCTCAGGTTCAATTTCATCTGCCAATAGAAACAAAATAATTTGTTGAAAAACCAGGAAAGCACTAATAGCCTCTGTTGATAATAGTGAGATAGATGGACTAATAGCCTAGTTAAATATAAGGTATGTATGATATCTGGCATTAAAGAAACAGCACTGCAGGAGGAAAAGTTGGCAATTATAGTACTTTGTTTTTCATTTTTTCTCTCTCAAAACTGATTTCCTATCAAAATTATCCAGCCCTTCTATCACGTTCATTGAAGTGCCATTCAGAATTAAACTTTGCCTTTTCTTTGTTCTAAGAAAAACTAGAACAAAGGGTCTGGAATATCTCTTAAAATTTTGAGAACAGATTTTTTTCCTCTTCCCATTAAAATCAATTGAATAAATCTGGATCCAAATGGAACCCATTTCTTTTAAACTATTTGGAACATCAGCCATTAATGTGAAGTTGGTTAAAACAATGTATCTGCTGTATATATTAAATACCTACTTTTTGAAATCTACTCATCTTAACCACCCAGTTCAGTTTCATGTTTTAATCAAGTAATCATATAATACTGTGTAAGCTTGTACATGTTTTGGCCAAATAAGAAATGTTCAAATGCTTGACTGAATGACCAGAGACCATTCATCTGTGTGCAGTTTATATAATGATATGCTTTTCTGCTGGAATGATTGGAGGATTCTCATTTCTATTTGGATAGGATAAGGAAGAATAATGTACAACAGGAATCATCAGAATGCAACATTTTTGTGAAGCTTCTAGGAATCAAGCATTGTGGAGGTTGTCAGTTTTTCATACAAGAGTTATCCTGCCTAGGAGTTTCAGATGATATGAGGCATACAATATAAAAAGAGAAAAATAGTTAAAGATGTATACAGAAAAATATTTTTGAATATCCTAAGCAGGATTTCAATGCCCTCTTGCTAATTTCACATCCAAATTATGATGAGTTAAAATAATTACCATTTTCTTTGGTATAGAGTTCTTTTCACCAGCTACTCATAAGCAAGATTTAGATATGAAACTTTGGGATAGTAGAATTCATAACATGTATGTCGTATCTGAGTATTATTTAGCACTGTGTGTTCTGCTTTAATATTCTATTATGGAGATTTGGGGAAAATAATTGCCTTATCATGCCATAACAGAAGGACAATATTGGCAATATTGCATGGATAGGATCTAAGGGGTCTGCCTAATGGTTCTTGCAAAATCTTAACATTAAAAGCATTCTTAGGCATATAGTATCATTTAATATTTGACAGTATTTGGATAGGAATGTCATTTGTTTTTCTGAATCTTCTACCTCTTTCATATAATTCCTTCTGTATGTGAAGTGCTATATATGGCCTTCGGTCGAGTAACTGGACACTGTAGGAAATTACACTTTTTTGAGAATGTCAGTTCTACAAGGAGAAAATGTTCTAAAGTTTTCAACTGTAAATTATGTAAAACTTTAAAGGTATTATATTTATACGACTTTGCCAGTTATATTTATACAAAACTGGCTTTGCTGTCATAGCAGTCTCTAGAAAGTGGCATAAGGTTTTGGTAAGTATTTTGATTTGTACTAAATAGGAACAAAAAGCGCATAAAGGAAATTCATAAGAGAATGTCTAAAAGATTATAAAAGAATATATATGTTTAATTTTGCAAATATATAGTGTGAGGTGGGGACTTGAAGGATGACTGCTGAAGTGAGGCCTGGTGAAGTTTAAATTACCATTATAAGTCTTTTTCTTTTGTTTCATTGACTTTGAATCAACCTTCCATGCTCCCCTTCCAATCAAAGTCAAAAGGCTCTCCTCACAAGTTAAAGTGAAGCTATAGTAGAGATCATCTTCCCCATCACTTTTAATTCTTGCTAATTTTTAGAAGCTTAACATGTGCCTTTTTGGATCTTTGGCTTGATGTAAGTCCATGTGTTGTTAGAAAATGACATTGTTGCTGTCTTCCATTTAAATTACTAAAACAAAGGAAGTGGGTTTTTTTCCTTCCCTTTTCCTTTTCAGACAGAACTGAATGTAATGTGAGAACTGGGGTGATCGTAGACTGTTCACTGAGAAAATAATCATCCTCTGTAGTTAATTTGTAGACAATGTCATTGACCATTATTTGATCATGGCTAGTATTTGTTAATACCGTGACACTTAATAATTTTAATGTAAAATGAAATATAATTTTAATAAACTGGTGTTTTCTATGGTCTAGTGCAGGATTTCTCTGCTTACAAGCTTGAATTGTCTTGGTATGTTAAAAAGTGATGGATGCCAGTCAGCAAAAGTGTGAGTAAATCCAAGACAATAAAAGTTGGCAAATGGATTTTGAGTTCCAAGCTACTGTCCAGATAAAATGCTAGGAGGGATGTTTCTTCTAATTACTTCTGTTGCTGATGTATTTTGTTTTGTGTTCATAAGAGCATAGCAACTTTCAAGTTTCCACTTGTCTTTCAGTTGACATAAATGGGCAATAATGGTTGTTTCCTCAGAATGGGTTGCATCCAAGGTGTAAATCCAAGAGAACAAAATGGAGGGTAGTTGATCTGCTAATGATGGCATGATGTACCACAAGTGCACCTAAAATAACTGCCACAAACATCATTTAACAACAAAATTATAAACAAATGCTGGATTTTATACAAGCAGCAGAGGCTTTGTGCTCTCATATCTCTGGATACAACCCACTGTAAAGAAAATTCTTGGTCATGAAAATTTAACGCCTTTCACCTTTTTATAGTTAATATTTTGGTATGGCATAAGTATTCCAGCACTCTTCAGCTTTGTTTTGCTGTATAAGCAAGGAAATATGTAGATAAAAGAAAATAAGAATATTGTCTCAATAACTGCTTCCAAACTTATAGTCATGTGTTAGCAGTACTATAGCAAGACAACAATACAGAATGGTTTTAATCAAAGAAAAACCAACAGAATAGATTATCTGAGAATAAGTCTGAATTATGGAGGTATCAGGATATGTTTTAAAGGATATTTTGGCACAATTTACTTGAACAATTAAAGCAGTCATAAAGAAATAATTTCAACTTCCATAATTCCTAGTCAGTCTTAGCAAAGCAATATTGAAATTAGCATAATCTGTAAGGGTCAATTAAAACTAATACTTAAAAATGATCATTAATACCTGGGAAATCAGTCCATTACAACTGAACCTCAACATAGATCAATCTCAAGTAAAAAAAATGCCAAGTATAGAGAAACTTTCAGAGCTTTATAGGATTTCATAACTGCTTAAAAACAAAAACAGGATCACTTTTCCATTTTATCTGAAATATTGTTTTAGTTGCAAAGTGAAATTTGGATATGTAATAGCTACTAATTATTTTTGTGCTGCTTAGAAGGCATCAGCAATTCTACATGATGTGTAAACCTGGTTTAAAATGAATTTTTTTAATCTGATAGTATTTACAGTAATTCAGTAATTTTTTTGAGTTTCTCACCAGGTTTGCTAAGTGTATTATTCTTAACCTTATAAAACAAATTGGTTCTAATCTTCAGTTCTAATGAAACATAGCTTTTGTAAAACATAATTTGAAATCCAAAAAGAAATCTAACATAGCTATTTGAAAGTAAAAAAAAGATATAAATTAATAATGTAAGTGGGAAGCATTACATAACCAATATAAACAAGCTAGTATGGGACAATCTTCCCTACATCATTTTGACAATCAGGCAAGATGAAGATGGCACAGTGGGAATTTAACAAATAGATTTGTAAATCGTATTTAAATTACAAGTATGAAAATCATAATAAAATATCCCTCTGGTCTTTATAAATTAGAAAAATGGCCATAGAAGTATTTTTTTAAAGCCTTAGAGGCCTTATGACCTTACATATTCAAATTTTTGAAGATATATTTTTTATGAACTATTTAGAAACACTTGTAAATATGCTTTACTGCCCTTTGGATGCTTAGTGGTGCTAGATAATAACTAAAATATCACAGTTGTAATTCTGCAAATCCTAAGGTATCACATATCTTACTATGATACGATAATGCTGACTTGCCTAAATATTGAGAATATATATGTGCTAGGGCATATGGTCTGGTGCTTATTAAACTATAAATCTTTAAGCAAAAATGTACCACTGAGTTATCTGGATACTGGTCACTATTCTAACATTCTATGGAAGTGTGCTGGCAATTTATTTTAATTTTTAACTATTAATTGTTGTGTTTTTTTTCAATATAATTACTACCATATTGTAAATCTGTCACTAAAGCATTATCAATGTTAATACTTCAACATAGTTGGTGAAAAATATAGAAACTGGATTTTTGATATAGTGTTTTTGTGTTGGTTATATAGTTCAGATAATTAAAATTATCCCATGTGTAAAAAGCTGTATTTACCACTGGATATTGTTTCTTGTTTCTGTAATAGCAACTAATCATGTATTTCTTGAAACATTAAATTTTGTCAATTCCAATGCAAACCCTTTCTATCACTGCAGTGCTGAATAATTTTGTTGTATCAAAATTCATAAAGCCAGCTTTCCTGTAATGGGACAAAATAATCTTTTTAATAAAGTTATAACCTGGGGATATAAAATCTTGCATATTTGAATCAGCATAGAGTTGCTTACTATGAAAATATTTAATACAAAATAATTACATTGTTAGTAATGTATCATTATGTCAATAAAAGAGTGATCTTCAAATCATGGCAATTGTACTTTAAAATGTTTAATAATTATGGTGTTGATTGAAGACTATTACTTTTAAGGTTCGTTGGCTGAGAAAATCTTGTCAATTCCTAGTATCAAGAATGGATTCATTACTACTAAAAAAAGATCACAATGGAGCTCTTTAAAAAAATTAAAAATCCAGGTTTGCTTTGCAAGATACAAGTAAGAGCTGGAAGAAAACCATGACTGAAATTATGAATATGTCTACTTACTTTTCAGAAATAAGCAAATATGTATTGTAAATTGTATTGTAAATCTGAAATAGGTGTGCTAATTGGCCTGGAAGAATTAAACTATAAACACAAATTCTAGCACTGAGCATTTTAATTTACAAAATATGCTCAAGGTGGCACCATTTAGCTTACCTTATAATTTCCTAATAATAAAGCTAAGAATTTAAATGGGTGATAATCTGTAGGCTAGTGATTATCTTAAAGGTAATGGCAAATCTCTTCTGTATTGTTCCTAAAATCTAAAAGGACTTAGGACAGGTATGTCAAAGTCATGGCAGTGTCACAATGTATTGGGACTTCCCCCTCCTTCGCTAAACAGGGTGTGGCCGTGGCCAGCATGTGACACATCCGGGCTGCAGGCCGTGAGTTTGATAGCCCTGATATAGAAGTATACTCTCTTGGTGCAGAAGAAACATAGCAGATGACATAGTGAAAGCTTTCTGGCACAGCCTAAAGGGAAACACACCAGTTTGTTTTTTGCCAAATGAATGTTCTATGACTTGCTATGCCTTTTATGGCAGTGTTATTGTAAGTCTGTTAACCAACCTCAAAAGATTAAAAATTCCTATTAAAAACTATGGCTAATTACTATTGCTGGCATTGCTACTAATACAGATACATAATGCTGTATGGTTTTTTCCCCAGTTCAAATGCTAATACTCAACACCTTATTGAAACCACTCCAAGTAACACTTAAATTGCTGTAAATTTACGACTACTAATGAAACTATATCCAGACTGTTACAGCAAGTAATATGCAGCTCTGACCAACTAATTCAACTAATTCTTGATTTATTTCATATATAAGTCTGGAAAGCATGTATCATTCCAATTTAACATACAGCCTGGAAACAAAGAAGCTAGGCATACCTATGGCCAGCTCCACAAATAAGAAAATAGGAAGTGCTTTCACTGTATGAACTATGTGAGAGTACTTAACAAAACAGAACTTCAGCAGCTTGTCAAAAAGTTCAGCGAAAGCGCACTCCATTTAGATGTAGATACTCAAAAGAAATTCATATGGTTGTCTTTTTCCAATTATTGATCACAAACATCTAGAATTCTGGCAGATTATAAATATTCAGGGTGGGGATAGATGAGTTCAGGTAGTCCTCCAGTTACAACTACACGAGTTCAAAATTTATGTTGTTAAGTGAAACAGTTGTGAAATGAGTTTTGCCCCATTTTACAAATTTTCACAGTTGTCACAATTGTTAAATGAATCATTGCATTTAGGTTAGTAACATGGTTATTACGTGAATCAGGATTTCTTTGCTTTTAGGTTGCAAAAGCTGATCACATGACCCCAGGACACTACAACCGTAAATATGAACCAGTTGTCAAGCATCTGAATTTTGGTCATGTGACCATTGGGGATACTGCAATGGTCATAAGTTTGAAAAACATGACCATTGTAACTTTTGTGTGCCATTGTAACTTTGAACAGTCACTAAATGAACTGTTGTAAGTCGGGGACTACCTGTACAAATTGTAGCTTTAATGTAGTTCTTTGTAAGTAATCTAAACCTGTTAAACTTGGTCACCTGTCAATCCCTCTCTTATTGGAAAAGTGGAAGGGAATAATTTAAAGACATATTCTACTGTAATTTTCTACATTTTCTACAATTAGAGTTCGTTCATTATAAAAGAAGTATGTTCTTTATAATCAATAGGCTGTAACATATTATGCCTGATGGTACAATTCAATGCATATAGATCCAAATATGTCAAGCGAAAGCATTTGGTAAAGCAGTTGTTTATTTAAAACAAAGGATGTGTTTTGCAAGAGACACAACATGAAAGTTGTGTTTATTTTGAGGATGGGAAAAAATATTTCTAGAAAAAAAATAACATAGCCAAAATTGTCAACTGCCATGAAATTCATAATTTGTGCATCAACTTTAATACCACTAGATGGGAGCACTTGTGTTTCAGAAAAAAAAAAAAGTAATGTAGGCAATTATTCTTTTCCTGACCCCACAAAATTCCATTGCATGCAGATATGTGATATAGCAGTAGCGAGTCACGGTAGTGAGGTGGAAAACCATCTAAATGGGTAAAATAAAAAACTAAACTAAAATGGCAAATGGAACTAAATCAGCTCCCAGTTGAGCAGATTCTATGAAATAAACACCAGAGTAAAATATTAAGACAGCCAACTGAACACTTAGACAAATCTTTTGCTTACTACTTAGAAAGTGACAAACTTTTAGTTTATTCTGAGTTTTAAAAAAACTTCCTAGAAATAAACCTATCACATTTTATGAATTCATTTCAATACATTCTTATTTTAACTTCCTAGCTAGTACTGATAACAAGACATGTTCCAATGTGATCACCTTTACATGATAACAGAAAAATTAAATGTAAACATGAATAATTTGTTTCCTTTTCTCCTTATGCAAATTATAAATATATAAGGCAGATCCACTCAAACAACATTTATTGTATTTCCTTCTTTCATTAGTTATAAAAATTATAAAAGCATATTGATTAATATTTATAAAATATGCAAATATCACAATTTAGTTACACAGCATATTGGTTTGGCGCAAAGCAAAGTGATGTAGAATGTAGATCCATGCTCATTTGTCTGTCTTCACTCTTGAGTTAGATGCTCATGACGCACTGAATGAACTGCCCAAAAGAAGAAATTGTGTATCAGGTATAGTTTGTCATCACAGTCTTTTTTATGCAATTATATTGCAAGATTGCTGTAATACAGAGATAGAGGGGACCTGTGAACTTTCAGCAGTTGGGACTCATTATTCCTAAAATTGTGTAATGCTTGATGAGAATTGAAAATTAGCATCTAAATTAGAATCCAACAATAGATCGTTACAATTACACAGACAACTTTCATTCATTTTTAATATTGTAAATAATTTTAAACCAACTGGGGAATATTATGGCTACCACTAAACGGTGTGGTCAATGCAGTGACTCTTTCAAATACCATCTTGCAAATTCTTGATTTGAAGAACCGTAGGATCATTATCTAATGGTTGTCAATTCTTGCCATGAAAGACTGATGTTCTTTAAGATACTGTTCTATACTGCCCGACAGCTTATACATCTTTTAATCACTTTGCTAACTACTGGAAATATATTTGGCATTTTGGGGCAGTGAGGGAGCAAGTTAGGACTTCAGTAAGAACTAAGACTCATAGACTAGCATCCAGCATGAAGCTAGTGCAATCCAGCATGTGGCATGAGACAATCTATTGGAAAATGCCTGACGTTAAAGTGGAATAGCACTTGTAGCTCGATGATATATGCTTTGTATACAAAAAAACATTAGGCTCAATTGATAGTGCTCCCAAGTAAGGCTGGAAAGGAGTCCCCCAAAATCCAATATTCAAAAGCTACCAATATATTGGACTGTTGCCACTAGCTATAAACTAGTTACTTCCATTCTGGCCCTCCAATCATAATGACCTCAACTTCCAGAATTCTCGCCAATTGCCATCACAATTCTGGGAACTAAAACACATATGGAATATGTACCAATTTGGGTAAGGTTGGTGTAGGATTGAGAATTTTAGGGCCATAAGCTCCTTCTGGCCCTTTGTTCCAATCCAGCCAGGGGAGGGGGGGTTCAGTAGCAGGAAGGACAATCTTCCAAAACAGTCCCAGTTTCACATGTGGTCCCCATGGAAAAAGTTATTGCCCACTTCTGGTGTAGACAATAAGGTATTGCTGATCATGTGGCTTTTACCATTGCTATATAAAAGACTTATGATCCTCAAAGGCCATCCATTATCTGGGAATTGCTCCTAATGAAGGCAGAGGCACAGCTATATAACATTTTATAAAAAAAAAGTTCAATGGAAGAAGGGATATCTAATATGAAAACTAATTTTAACAACTGATATCGAAATCACTGTTCAAAGCATTTAACGATGCATCTCTATGTTTTGCATTTCTAGCTGGAAAGATTTAGAACCTCTTACATCATCGTATTGGAAATTCACCATCCCTTGCTGGGTTGCATCCCTTCTTCGAAAACTATCTGTAAAAAACAAAATAAAATGAATTAGATGGCAAATCACATATTAGAAGAAAAAATAGTCTTATTATAACCCAGTTTCAGAAAAACCAACTAAAACTAACTTGACAAACACAAGAAATTGTTTTTGAACAATAGCAACAGCACTTAGACTTATATATCACTTTACAGCTCTCTCTAAGTGGTTTAGAGTCAGCCTATTGCCCCCAATAATCTGGGTCCTCCTTTTACCAACCTTGGAAGGATGGAAGGCTGCGTCAACTTTGAGCTGGTGAGGACAGTCAACAGAATTAGCCTGCAATACTGCATTACGACTCCTGGTCAATAATCTACTCATTAATTTAAGCCCCAAAATTAAATTATTAATATACTTTATAAATCTACAAGTTCTAATCCCTTATCAATCAAAAATGTATAGATTTTTCTTTCTTAGGTTTGATGCTCTTAAAATATTGTATCCATGATTTAACCTCGAAAAAAGATTCAGAAATAGAATAAAATACTTCAATATTGGAACATTTTCAATGTCCTAGATAAAAAAAATTGGAGTAAAATTATTAGGACTAGATCTGATGGGCTTAAGCTACTATGAGAGTAAAACTCAGTTGAACCTCAAGCAAAATATTAATGATAAGCAAAATATTAATGATGATGGCCTAGCCATCCAGAAAAGTCTTCATCCAATGGTTGAAAAGTCTTCTGCTAAAAATGGTTTAAATTTGTTTTCCTAAGATAAACAGACTGGATGGCTTACATAGCCCATTTCATCATGCTTTGTATTTCAGGGGGGGAAAATTGACCTGATAAAAGGAGAAATTAAATACCAGTCAAATTCAGTAATTGTGAAGTAAATCATACCAGTAAGAGCTCTGAGTTTTACACAGCAGGCTATATAGTCATCAAAACTGATCTTTCCACGACAGCTGTATCGTTTCACAATTCCATTGATGGCCTGTGGACTCAGTCTAAATCCTAAATAAATAAAAGGCACAAAAGAAAGCAAATATGTTGAATTTCCTATATCAGAAATATTCTTTATAGGGTAATGTGTACTGCAAAACAGAACACCAATCTCTAGCATCAGTGTTATTCCAAATTATGTTTCTAGAAGTCTAAGAACAACAGGAAGTCCTGCAAAATAAGATAATGGAAGCATAATTGATAACAATCTTTACCCCCCCCCCAAAAAAAGGAAACTCCAAGAAAACCAAGTGGATATATATAGAACTTTTAAATGCTAAAAAGAAACGGAATGATGTACAGCCCCAAAAGAATAACAATTAGGAGGAGGAAGTATAGATTTGTGATAAAACAGGCAAGCCATACTCCTCTTGCTAGAACTATACCAGCTTAATAAATTTCTGGATAATGGCAAGTGCTATTCCTATTCAACTCTGTCTTGGTCAGTCCCCTTCTGTAATACTATATTCAGTCCAAAAGGGCTACTAACAAATTTGAATTCAAGAATTTCTCTGAGATGATAGAAAGTGAAAGCTGGTGATTAATGGTTAAAGGGGACTGAGTATATGTTGCTTGCAGAACAGAAGATTGGGGAGAAGTATATTAATAGTTTCTACTACTACAGAAACTGAGATTTACAAGGACTAGACTAGAACTTCCCGAGTCTGATTGAATTTTAACACAATTGGAGAATTCTGGGAGTTAAAGTCCTGAGAAATCAGAAGAATTACAGGTTAGGGGACATTCAGGATTCTTCCGTAGGTTTTTCCTGTGGCCATTAATCCAAGCCGAAGAAAAGTTCTACCACTCACCCATGGACAACAATGCTTTTTGCAGCTCCTGAGAATCAACTGTTCCACTGCGGTCTGCATCAACACTCATAAAATGTTGCCTCCAACCATTCAGTATAGCCCAAAGTTCTTTAAATTCATTGAAGCCCATTGTGCCAGACATGTCTCTCTATAGATTATTGTTAAGGATCAAACCATACTAATAGTAAAACAGATGCAAGATACTCATTGTTTACAGGATTGCAGCTCTGATATCAAGGGTAGATGATCACTCATGACTTATTTTTTGTTGAAAAATCATTGAATTCAACTGAAATTCTTTGCACATTTTGGAGCAAAACCTATGGAAATCAATTTATTTCTTCTCAACGCACACGCACGCACACACACACAGAGCAAAGGATACCAGTGAAACACTTTAATGGAAAAATAATACCTAAATTTCTAAAGTATGTGCAGAGTCTACTCAATTAGCAATGAAACATGGA